CCTCCATAACTTCTATATTGAAGTTTCAAGTGGTTACTTGGGAGTTATGAGTTTGAATTCTAAATTCAAACCACTCCCTCCAAGCATTATAAGATCCTACGGGTCGGGTCACCCCACATGGACGATCCATTATCTGTATTTTCCAACAACTCCCACTCACACATGATGGGTTTGATCCGAACCACAAGTGATAACAAATGTCACACCTTAGATCTTTCTCAAGATCTATCTCACAAAGATTCATCTAGCAAATAGATTGTGCGACCAACGAGTAATTTTAGATCTCACGGTACTATAAACCTGTTAGGGATATATAGTAGCTCTACTAGAGGAGGAATATCACATCTCACTATGCCCCAAACTCATTTTCCAACATTAATTCAAGTATTTCCAATCCCTCAAGTATTTGTGGAACATACTTGAATTCCACATCATATCATTGTATTCACAATTACATTCTATACCCCAAATAATTAAACACAATTGTCTGGCCGGTGAATACAAATATAAATGTTGGTCAAAATAGTTTTCCTTTCCTACTTGAATCCTTCAATTTTAAATCAGCTGCTTTCCTAGACATGCCCCATCAAACCGAATCAATCATAGTCATTGGCAACATGCTAAAGTAGCAACACTGAAATAAAACCTCAAGAAACAGTCAAAAGTCATAAGGGTATATATGAGGTTACATAAACTTCAGGGTCTTACACAATGAGGAAGCAGGGATCCATTCACTCATTTACCCAATATTGGTTGTAAAAGCACACGCGGTATGAAACACGTGCTACGATATTTTCTCCATTTTTTAGGGCGTATGTCATATTCTTTTGTAAACAAATAACATCGTACAGATCCTAATTCAAGTATTCATCAATATTTAACTTGAGTTCTCCTTATGTTCATTCCTCCAGGCATTCTCAAATCGAGAACTCGATCTAGCTACCAAACGGGTTTAATGGATAACGAAATTCATTTCGATTACTTGTTATAATATCATCTTGATACCTTATCAAAGTGACTGGATCATGTAAACAAAATGATCACTATCAAGGCGACTGGATCATATACACAACATGATCACTGTGTCTCATCTTAGCACATCTTAAAACTTCTGAGACGATTGCTTGTGTGAGTAAGTCAATCTCAACCAGTTCGACATACTTTATATGTGCATACAAATCATTTATATTGTAATGCCAATATTAGATTACACATGAACTCAAAATCGTTCATCTATGGGCACACAAAACTCAATTAAGAGTTTGTCTGATATACCAAGTATCATATTCTACGAAATTCTAGAGATTCCATATTATCAACAAATATATCTGTAGACATTTTCAGAGTATGATGATTACATATCATCATTTACGTAGATATATCACAAAGACACTTTCTTTGCTAATGTCTCTCACATAATTACCATTAAGTGTTTGGTTCTATTTTAATACTTGAGATCTTAACATATAAAATAATTGCGTAACTATCATGGATCTCATATTCTCAACTAGTATCATTAGATGCTCAATACATCCATACCAAACAATTTCTTTAATTGCAATTTCACATGAGCATTTATAATATAAAACTCTTATGATAGAGCAAGAACATACGAAAATTATTCTTAACACAACAATTTGCTAAACCCATGTATTTTCTCTCAAAAAATTGAGGACAACCATTTCAAAATGGTCTGTATACACTTCTTATCATGCTCAACCAATCCAATGTTATCAATATCAAAGTTAGAATTACAACCTATCATCGGACTTTTTCACAAATACAGTAATTTTCGCCCATGTGATAAAATTCTTGTACGAAATTTAACCCTGTTAAAAACTCAAGTACAACTGTCAAGATGACTATATTAGGTCATGCATGTAACTATAAAGTTACCACAATTAAAAAAAGTCTTTAACATGAAATCTAAAAGTCGATTCATGTTGATATCTTTAATCATTTCTCAATTGAGAATAAAAATACAGTCTCTAGGTCGATTTGGTGTAACTCTAAATTTAAACATACCATCACGGCTAGCATTGATGTATAGAAGCGAATCCCATCGTTATGAAAAAATTTATCGAACTCAGTACACTCACATTGAGTATAACATTTTTCAAAATTGAGCTTTATCTATCATAAACTCTTTAGTCTTTCACTTAACTTTCAAGAGCTTGAATGTTCTCGATAAACATAATGTTTGAATAGAACTTTCACCTTATCTCAGATTAGGTAGAAATTCTATACTTCATATATATACTTCCAACTTTTCTCAAAATTCATCTTCTAATTTTTTTTGAACCAAGAATCATCGGTATTAAATAGCTCTTAG